GACGTGAAGATGACGGTAACCCTGAAATATTTAAAAAATATCCAAGCTGTCGATCCGAATTTGTCGGCCCTCGCTCGCCATTTATACTTCACGAAGCTACCTCAGCTAAGCTCGATTTTCTCCGGTAAATTTTCCGACCAGAAGGCAAGCAGAAAATTGTTTTACGGCTTCTTCTTTGTTAGCTTCAGTTACCCCAAAAAATTCGGCATAATTCCATCCATGGCGGTCTCGATGTTTCAGCCAATGGCCGTGCCGGTGTTCGATTCGGCGGCGGAGGATCTGAGAACGGTGTGCGCCGGAGGTAGGACCAGAAGCTACGAGTGGAGGGTCTCTCAGTTGAAGGCGCTCCTCACCATAACCACCCGCCATGAGAGAGACATTATGCAGGCTCTGCGTGCCGACCTCAATAAGCCAGAGCAAGAAGCTTTTCTGCACGAGGTGTGGTTCAAATCAATTAGCGCCATATATATATGTAGGGAAGATGCTATGGTCCCGTTACGGAACCATTTCGTTTGAGTTTGTAACCATTTGATCAACTATCTCTGATGGTTACATGATGATCTAACAATCACAAATTCTGACAGAATGATTTCGTAACGAGACCTTAACATTTCCCTGTATGTAGATATGAATATTTAGTCCTTTACTCGATTAAACTTCACATTAATAGATTCCACCGCGGGCTAATTTAGTATTATGTTCTGTTTTTTTTGGAATCTGGTTGGTAAATGTTTGAGTTCTTACCAAATAGGTTTATGGAGTATCATCATCGTGTAAGCTGGCTTTGAAGGAATTACATCGATGGATGACTCCAGAAAGAGTAATCTCTCCCCTTTCCTTTTTCCTCCATTTTGTTTAATAATGTATGAGCTCAAATTGTTCTGACTCTCTTGGTAGCTGGATTGGAAGCACAAAAATGATTAATCAATCATTAGATTCTCGTGGTTGCAGGTGAAAACAGAGATGGTCGGCTCTTCATCATCAGCTGAAATAGTGTCGGAGCCTTTGGGGGCCGTTTTGATTATATCAACTTGGAACTATCCCTTTTGTATGTTGATTCTGTTTATTAATGCGATTCGTGTGCGTTTTTATCTCGTATTACTTATTTTCGCTATATAAGTTACGTCTCACAAAGGCGTAATAAGCTTTTGCAAGCATTCTCTTGAAGGCCCCTTCAGATTACTATAAAGAAGCAAACTTTCCAATGTAAACTAACAGGAGAAAAACAAAATGTTCGCAAAAAAGATCATTGAATTTGTCTTGTGATTTTGCAGAAACGTAGTGAACATACAAAAATGTTGGCTTCAATGTGGCTTATTTCTTTTTGTCTTTTTATTTTTATTTTTTTCCTGCCAAAGCGCTGTCACTCGAACCGGTTGTTGGAGCTATTGCAGCTGGGAATGCCTTAGTTTTGAAGCCATCCGAAGTTGCCCCTGCAACATCCTCAGTGCTATCAAAGCTTCTCGGGGAGTATATGGACACCTCAGCAGTGAAGGTTGTTGAAGGCGGTGTGCCCGAGACAACTTCCTTGCTGGAACAAAAATGGGATAAAATATTTTACACAGGTAAAGATTCGAGGTTTATTTATATGGATTACTACAAAAATTAGTGTTTTTGTGAATGTTAAAGGGTCCTTTAAATGCCTTTTATTTATAAAGGGAAATGCAAGAGGAAATCAGATTTTGAGGCTCTATTTTGTTAATTTAGAGATGTTTATGTGACTTCCTAAAATTCCCAAAACCTCAGGGGCGGATTTTATATTTACTCCTTATTTTAATTATTATTCGATCAGCTTGGTTTATGTCGGGATGTGAACTGTACTGCAGGGAGTCTCAATGTGGGACGCATTATATTAGCTGCTGCTGCTAAGCATTGCACACCGGTGGTTTTAGAGCTTGGAGGGAAATGTCCTTTAGTGGTTGATTCAGATATCAACTTAAAAGTAAGTCTTTGTAATTGTTGATGTTTCACCAAACTGAAACCATTTCTTTCATGTGTTCCACAACAATCATGGATTCACCAGTTATGCCTCAAAAATTCAATTAAGGTTTGGTTAGTTACCAAAAACTCAATTATGCCTCAAAATTACAATTAAGTGCTTGAGGTTTGGGTTGTTCTCCAAACGACCCACATCAATGAATAATTGCTGTTATGCTTTCTAAAGGTTGCAGCAAGACGAATAATCTCTGGCAAGTGGGGAAGTAACAGCGGACAAACTTGTGTTTCACCCGATTATATTGTGACTACAAAAGAGTTTGCCTCAACATTGGTAAGCAGTTGCATTGGATTGAGAGGGAGGATTATATTATGCAATATGCATACATTTGAAATATTTATTTATTTTATTAAATTATATCATAAAAGGTGGATGCTATTTCATTCGAGCTGGAGAAGTTCTATGGAAAGGATCCTCTGCAATCGAATGACTTGTCGAGCATTATAAATTCCCGCCATTTTGACCGTTTGACAAAGTTAATGGATGACAGGAAGGTTTCTGGTAAAGTAGTTGTCGGTGGTCAGCGGGATAAACTCAATCTGTGAGTATTAACTATTAACTCAAAACGTTGTTTGCATTTCTTTTTTTCTTAGCAGATTAGACACATTCATGTTATCTATTTATATTCTTTCTTCTTTTTATAGCAAGATTGCTCCCACAATTATATTGGATGTCTCACGGGATTCCCTTATCATGAATGAGGAGATTTTCGGTCCTTTACTTCCAATTGTCACGGTAAAACTAAACGAGCTTCTAGTAGATTCTTGTTTCAACCAGCTTTATATTGGTCATCAGAATACACTTAAAGACTCAAAAGTTAAGAAGCAATTTTAGACTTAAACCTAACAGTTTGTAAAGACAGCAAATCGATATTTCATTTTCTACTCTTCGTTTGCGCTTTTATTTCATCGTCCAAATTTTCAATGTGAAGGTCGATAGAATCGAGGAAAGCTTGCGCCTGATTAATTCCAGAGGAAAACCTCTGGCCGCATATATATTTACAAACAATAAACAGCTCAAGGAAGATTTCGCAAGAAGCATCTCGGCTGGGGCCGTGGTTATTAATGAGACAGTTGTGCATGTAAGCTCTTTTTTTTTTTCCCTACCGTTATATGCTTACAACGATTATCACGAAATTATATAATTTTCTGCCATTTTTGTAATTTTCGGACTTGTTTTCTGCAGATTGTAGAGCCCGGGCTACCGTTTGGAGGGGTCGGGGAAAGTGGGATGGGATCGTACCACGGCAAATTTTCGTTCGACACTTTCAGCCACAAAAAAGCCGTTATGAAGTGCGAATTCAATGGTGATACAGACATGAGGTACCCTCCGTACACCCCCCAGAAGCTAAACATTTTGAAGGCAGCTTTGAACCGTGATATACTAGGAATTGCTCGTGGTTTGATTGGTTGGTGAATGATTTTATTACACCAGTTGGTAATAATGTGTATGCATTTGTGATTACAAGTGGCTAGAGTGTACTTTGGCTAGAAATACATTTTAGGGTAAAAGTAAAACTACAACCTCGTTACGGAATCATTCCGTTGGGATTTGTAATCGTTAGATACACATGATAACTAAATATACATCTAACGGTTACTAATTCTAATGGAAAGCATCCGTAACGGAATTGTAGCATTTTCCTACATTTTATAATTATGTTTACATTGTACTAGTATATTCACCCGTGCGATGCACGGAACATATTTAATAAAATGTATTAATAAATACATTAATTTATATATATAATAAAAAATAAATGATAAATAAATAACATTATTATTAAATAGATAGTAAAAGTAAAATATTGTATGGTATTACAAATTGTAGAAATTCTCGATAGACAACATTTTGAGTAGTTTTCTTTTCCCCATTATCGTCTCCACATATTAATATCTTCAATCCCTGTGGATTAGTGACTCGAGACACATCAACGTATAATTGACCATGACTAAACACGGGTCTTTTCAAGTAAAGTCCGACATGGGATAACGACTGCTCTTGACTCATGTTGATTGTCATTGCGTAAGAAAACATAAGAGCGAATTGTCTACGCTGGAACTTGAAGGGTATCATGAGATCAAATGGAGTTAGGGAATGTCTTGGTACTAATACCTTATGTCCAGCATTAGATCATGTTAGAATCTTACATTCGAACACGTAAGTGGAAAGTTTCATTATCACCAAGCATGTTCCACTACACAATCTAATCATATAGTCAATGTTTCTCAACACCAAGCGTGTTCCACGGCAAAAATTCAAAATTGGTCCTATAATTTGGCCACTGTCCAAAAAACCACCACTATATTGACCACTTTCAATTTAGATCCTATAATTTGTCGATTTCATCAATTTTGGTCCTTT